TATAAAGTAAAATCTTCCAGAAGGACAACATCAGTAGTGTTAAGTTTCACATTAAGCTCAATGGGGGTATCAAAAATCTTAGCAGTAAGACCGGCACGGTGAATAATTTTATCGGCATACTTGGCTTGAGACAGAAAGTAGCCCTTGGGAGAAGAAGCTACCTTAATACCAATAAAATATCACAATGGGCTTAGATCCTTCATTTCGAAGATGCAGAAGCGATGCTACTCGACTTTAGAGATAACAGAAGAGTTAGAGCCAGTGATGATCATATCATCCACATACAATAACAAAACAACAAAACTAGCAGAAGTGTGGAGAAGAGACAAAGCAAAATCCTAGGCACAAGGATGAAACCCAAGCTGAGTAACAGCTGTTTGAAAGAGATCATATCAAGCACGTAGAGATTGCTTCAAACCACACAGACCATATCGAAAACAATAAACTTGTCCAAAGGAATGGGCAAGGCCAAAGAGAGGACGCATATAAACCTCCTCAGTGAGATGGCCATTAAGAAAATCATTCTTAACATCCATCTGATAGAGAGGCTAATGACGAACAACAACGATAAAAATCAAAGTATGAACAGTAGTCATCTTGGCAACAAGGGCAAAGGTCTCATAATCAATACCATACTCCTGTGAGAACCCTTTAGGAACCAAGCAAGCTTTGTAGTGCTTGAAAGGACAATCAAAATAAGTCTTGACTTTATAGACCCATTTGTAACCAACCAAATTCTTGCCAGTAAGCAATGAAACCAACTTGCCTTCTGTAAGACAGACAACTCATCCTCCATAGCTCGAACCAAATTAGGATCTTGACAAGCCCCCCTTGTAGGACTGAGGTTCTAAAAAAGAGTGGACAGACAAGAAAGTACGATGTAAAGCAGAAAAACATGTATTAGAATAACTCAAACCTGTTCTGGGGATGACGTTCACGATCAGGATACTGGCGTGCTGCAAGATCAATGTCTTAGGAAGAAGGAAGAGCAGCAGTAGAGGAGACAACTGGTGAGCGAACAACCTTGCGATGAGAATAGACTAACAATGGAGGAGCATGAGGAGGAGCAGGAGCAGAAGGGGTAACAAACTCATGGGAGACAATAGAGATGTACTTAGTAGGATGGGGGCTAGGAGGAGAAGAGGGAACAAGCTCATGGGGAACAATAGAGATGTACTCATCGGAAGGGACCTCAAAAGGAAATGGATTAATGTGAACCAAATCCTCTTTGGAAATCAGGGTAGTGATAGGAGGAAGCTGAAAGTAAGACGTTTGAGAATGGTAACATGACGGGAGACATAAAAGTGACGGGAAACAAGGTCGTAACAACGATAACCTTTTTGAGTAAGACTGTAATCTAAAAAGATACATAGGATAGACCGAGCACTAAGTTTGGTCTTATCTTTATGGAAAAGAAGGACAAAACAAGCAGATCCAAAGACACAAAGGAGAGAGTAATTGGGAAGTTGAGAAAAAATAGAGCCTTGTAAGGAGAACGACCTGAGAGAGGGGAGTAGGCATACAGTTGAGTAGAAAAGCAGCAGTAAGAACTGTCTCAACCCAAAATGGAGCCCGAATAGAGGCAGAGAGAAAGAGACATAGCTATCTCAAGAAGATGACAGTATTTACACTCAGCTTGACCATTTTGGGCCGTTGTATTAGTACAGGAAGTTTGGTGAATGGTACCCAAATTGGCCAAATACTCACAAAATTCAGTTTTAAAATATTTCCCACCCAAGTTAGACTGTAATAATTTAACATTATACCTAAACTGTGCAGTGATCATAGACTGAAAAGTACGGTATATCTGGTAGAAGTCAGACTTCTAAGTCATAAGATACACCAAGTGTAATGGGTGTAGTCATCAACAAATGACAGATAGTATGTAGAACCCCTTTGGTAAGAATAGGAAAAGGGCCCCAGACATCAGTATGAATTAAAGAAAATAGTGTATCAGAAATAGAAGTATTTCACACTCGGTAAGTTGACTAGGAGAAACTTTACCCAATAAACTTGACTGAGCTAAAGACCATAAGCGGTCAGTAGACAAATGCCATAATCTAGAATGCCATAAATAAAAAGGACTTGATAGAGAATCCAACTAAAAAGGGAGGGAGAAAAAAAAAAAAAAAAGAGAAAAAAAAAAAAAAACAGCCAGAAAGGTAGTCAGATGCAAGCTCTCCACCACATAAAGGTTTCAAACTCTACAATCGGCCCTAATATGTTGCTTGGACATCCAATTCTATATAGAATAGATAGATGTAAGAATTTATGTATTATTGATTGATGTCTTGATTGATAGATTACAAGATTCATTAATTACAATTCCTATACAATCTATATATAGAAGAAAATGTGGTAGTAGGTGTAGTGGAGGTGATAGTGGGTTAGGTGAAGTGGAGTGTGTAGTGGTAATATGTTGCTTGGACATCCAATTCTATATAGAATAGATAGAAGAAGAAAAGATAACTCCAAAACCGGAGGCATCAAGCTGAGTGATAGATAATAAATTGACAGATAACTGAGGAACATAAAGGACATATGGAATAGTGACAGCTGACATATGAGACAGTAGGACAGACCCGACTGACATAACAGACATGTTAGACCCATTAGCAACATTAACAGTAATAGGAAAGGGAGGAAGAGTATAATTTTGAAGTAAGGAGAGATGCAGAGTCATATGATGAGAGGCACCAGAACCAAAAAGCCAGACAGACGAAGATATACCTGAAGAATGTTAAGAGTCATCTTTGACTCTTCTAGAATTATCTAGGCCATAACTACATATGTTGATAATCTAGAAGACTCCGGAAAGATCTAGAGAAATCTGGAAGATTCTAGAACATCGTAAAAGGTTTCGGAGCATTGGAGAAGCTTGGAGAAATCTAAAAGATTTTGAAAGATTCTAGAATATTTTAGAAGTATAGAAAGTACGACTATATACTAGAATAGTTTAGAAAGTTCTACAATATAGGGAAAATATCAGTATATGCTAGAAAATTCTAGAGGCTTAATAATAGCCCTTAGATCAAAATGATCCTAGCCATCCATTGAGAAGTTGGATGGCTATATAAATGGAAGTGACCTCATTGAAGGTACAACAACAACAAGAAGTGGAGTCAAGTATTGAAGTGTGAGTGATTCCAAGTGATGTGTCCTTGAAAGTTTCCTTTGTGTACTTAAGAGTATCTTTGTACCTAATAAAGGTTTAATTTTGTGCAAGTTGTTGTGTTCCAGCTCAACGAAGAAGACTTAAGCAAACCTAAATGAAAAGAGAAAAGAGCGGAGGCAGACGGGGATAGTTGGGAAGTAGACAATTTATGTTGAAGCTGAGCAATCTGAGCCACTCAAGGTAGCTAAATTGGGATCAAGAGCTGGAACAGATGTAGTAGAAGTGGTAGGAGGCCGAAAAGTTCTCGGAGGAGCGCGGAACTGGGCCTGAGACTACTGAGAAGATGAGACAGGTAGACGTCCCTTCTTAGGACAGTAATACTTCTAATGGCCCTTCTCATGACCAGAAATACACTAATCCGAAGTCAATGGCCTATTTGTGGGCCTATCTTAGCATCCAACATTGTAATGAACCAGTAAACAAGAACAGTATAAAACCCACAATAATGGAAGCCAAAGGAGCCCAAATGAAAAACAAAAATATGACTTGGAGTCAAAATGTAGTATCCAAAAACTTGTTTGGTCCAAACAAGAATAAAAAAGAACTATGTGGTCAGAGAGAAAGAACCCCAGAGAGATCACCAGGTCACGAATCAGAACAAGAGAGAACCAGAACCAGGTCACAATTTAGAGAACAAGAGACATAACTGATGTCGCAGTTCCAGTGACAGTCGAAGTTGAACCAGAGAGGCGAGAAGACTCGTGAACAAAGGAGACGGATCCAACGACAGATGGGTCGATTCTGGTGCTCGAGGGGTCACGACTTGGATGAAGGCAGATGCCAATTGCGATATGGGTTCAAACGCGACTTCGAGAACCACCAAAGAGCTTCACAATGTGAACTGGATGGGCCGCTAGCTGATTGAACCAAATGGGCTGTGATGCGAACTCGTGAAGCAAACCAGATGGGTCGGGAGTTGAACTCAAATAAGTTGCCCAAGTTAGATAAAGCACAGAATTAGAGAGTAAACTCGATGAGGACTTAGAGAACCCAATCGAATCCAGAGAACAGAACCAAAGAACTCGTTGATTGAATCCAGAGAACAGAACCAAAGAACTCGATCGAACTCAAATGATGGGTTGCGATTGTTGCTAGGTTTTGGTACATAGTTTTGAATAATATTCAATAGTATTTAATACAAGGGGTACAACCAATTTATATAGTAATGCTAGACCTAATCTAAAATAGGACTAATATATTTACACAATTAACATAATATTCTCACAGTTTTACCTAAGATAAAAAATTGTGGGTGTGCTAATAACACAAGTAGAAGAAGACAGGTTTTCTTATAATCAATTAAAAAAAAAAATCACCAATCAAACACTAATTTGGAATGGCAATTCAACAACTTCAACAATCAAACACTAATTCAGAATTAAGAGATGGAATGCTACTTGTGTTGTTTAAAGAATAAGGGAGTGAATACTATGTAGTGATGATCAACACAAATAATATGTTTCTATAACTGTGATTGAGAATTTATGAGGACTCCTTTCACTTGGGGCAATATTACCTTCTCTTGGGGCAATATTATAATGGATTGTGGGTTAATGATGACCTTGCAGTTGCCGTTTAATCTGCCATTGTAATTTAGACCGTAGCTATTCATCTATTAATTTAGAGTTCCCTTATCGTCTTCTTGTATAATATTCAGAGGAATGGAATTGTGACCTGAGGAATCTCTTGACCTACATTTTCTTTTTCTCAAATTGTCATAGGGAGTGTGTCAATCTATACAGATAAGTTGGATGGCTCAAAAGTAATCATAAAACTGGAATTACGGAATATTAGAACATCATTAAATGTATTCTGTCTATTGCAGGTAGTCCGATGGGGTAGGTCTGTTTATGCAAATATTCAGAAATTTATCCAGTTTCAGCTTACAGTTAATGTTGCAGCTCTTGTAATAAATGTTGTGGCCGCGGTTTCTTCTGGAGATGTCCCTTTAACTGCAGTTCAGGTTTGTCAAGACTCTCTCTCTCTCTCTCTCTCTCTCTCTCTCTCTATCTATGGTTGAATGTTCATTGGTTGATGTTAATTTTTATGCCTTTGTTTTTCGTTGCACAGCTGCTTTGGGTGAATCTTATCATGGATACTCTTGGAGCACTTGCATTAGCCACTGAACCACCAACTGATCACCTCATGCATAGGCCTCCTGTTGGTCGCAGGTTAGACTTCTTTTGATGGTGAAAACTGTGAAAATATATATTGCAGGTGTATAAATAGTTTGTCCTATCATTTCAGCTTCATTCTGTTGCAATCAATATAGGGCTGGGAAAATATTTTTTTGTATTGGTTCCTATGTAGAAGTAATCCCTCGGCATATGTTCCCTAGTAGATGTGGTTTAATGACAGATGATGTGATCTAGTTTAGGAGACTATTAAAACGGGTAAACAACGCCCAAATAGTACACATTAATATGTGTTTGGAAGGAGAAAGATTGAGTACACACCTAACCTTTGGCATAATGAACAAAGTGGTGGCCCCAAGAGTTGAAACCATAACCTTAAGGTTATTAGGCCAAGTCTTAACCATTGGTTCAATGGTCACTCCTAGACTATTAAAACGGGTAAGTTGGCAAATTTAGTTAATGCAAATTTGGTGGATATGGTACTAATGATTGGAATAAGCATGTGTTTACGGAATGGGTGGATACTCTCGACAGGTTCTGATGAACTCTGCACATTTTATTTTTATATCTAATTAAGGCTTGGTTTGGCATAATCAATAAAAGCCAAAAACTCAAAAAGTCACAATCCTATTTAAGTCACATCATCTCTCTACCACATCACTTCAAACCTAACCCATACCCAACCCATATTTCATAAAAAGTCAAAAAGTGCACTTATTTAGTTTATCCCAAACAACCCCTAAGTTTATGTAACCATGCACTCATTTTGCTGACTTGCACTAACTATATTATATGTATGGGCTTCCTTTGTAACATATTTGTGACTAACTATTTGCCTTAATTATCTATCAAAATATTTTCAATGTCAAATTTATAACTTACATAACAGTAGTAGCAACATGAGTTCCAATCTATGCCAATGCCATCCCATAACACAAGAATCCTCACTACACCAGTCATCATAGGTTTCATCAGCAGCAGCTGGAGGAAGTTCACTAAGAAAGCGGGATTTTTTCTTAACACGCAAAAAGATTTTATCTGCATGAGCCCAAGTCAGATAATTTAAGCCATTAAGTTTCTTGGTAGTAATAGACTTAAGCAACTCATCATCTTTAACCACAGGAGGTTTGGTTTCAGCCATGGAAAACACACAGCAGCCAAAAAGAACAGCAACACAGCCCAAAAACGAACAACAAAAACAGCCATCAAGGGAGAACTGAACCGAAGCCAAATAACAGCAGAAAACACCAAAAAGAAAAGTCTGTGACCAAATCCAGTGCTGCCGAACAGGGAAGGAGGCAAAAAAATACCAAAAATCCAACAAAACACTACCAAATCTCAAAACAAACCTCAAGGAAGATCCCCTTGATGATTTTCGGCCCCAATAGAGATGAGCCCACTAGGTAGAACTCACACAAGTAGAGCAAAGCAGCATTTTTGATTTTTCACCCAAAATATTAGAAAATCATTCAAAGATACAAAACTTACATCAAATGGCTGCAAAAAAATTCCACAAAAATCACCATTGAACTCAAAAGGAACAATCTATCCTTGACAGCCCAACTTGTTCGTACGGATGATGATGTCATGCTGACATCATTGTATGAATGATGACGTCGGCACGTTGTTGTCACCTCGCAATGATCTCTAGATTTTGATGAGGACTCGAGAAGGCAAGAACGAGGCTTTGATACCAAGTCAGAATGCACAAGAGTTGAATATTAGGGTTAGGGTTAGAGAGGGGAAGAGAGAGAGATAGACAAGAGAAGATGGGTTTGACTGATTGGTTTAGAGTTATAAATCAACCCTACTCCAGCAGCATATATTTATATGAAGACATATTACAATATGACCATAGCACCCTCAACTAATAAAATAATAACAAAATAACATCTGATTATTCTATTAGTAGCAAAAGATGAAGCCGGTACAGACACACATGCCAAAACTGTCTGCCAAACTGATTTGTTGGCTTTATATATAGAATAGATTATGAGTTGATATATATCTGAATCTAGTAAAAAGTGGCATATTTTTTCTTTAATTTTGTCAGGGAACCTCTGATGGTTGTGTTTGATGTCTGCATCACACTAATTAGCTTGTCTTGCTCTTCTTCTCAGGGAACCGCTGATAACAAATATCATGTGGAGAAACATACTGATACAGGTTATTTTTTTCAACCCCTTAAGATTTATCAAAGCTAATTTGAGTAATCACAAATTCACAATGGCAAAATTTTAAGTTTAAAAAATCATGCTTTTGTGTTCACTTCCTTTCCACGAATGATAAATCATCATTGACGGTTGAAAAATTACAGGCTCTATATCAAGTGACTGTTCTGCTTATCCTCAATTTCCGAGGCAGAAGTATCCTGCATTTAAAGAATGACAACATTGTCCATGCTACTAAAGTGCAGAATACATTGATATTCAATGCATTTGTCCTGTGTCAGGTAATTCCATTGACCCAAAAAAAAAAAAAAAAGTAAGAGATGAAAATACGTTGTTTAGGCTGTGATTATTAGCATGAGGACTGAGGAACACTTGAGTACATGCATTATTATTTTTATTTTATAACTTTCTCGTTGTTCGATACCTCACGTAAATGGTCCTACAATTGGGACTTCAGTTGAGCTGAAATATGATGGTGCATAGTGAACCGATTCCCATCACTACAGGAAAAATTTGGTTTCTTCCTTTCAGTAAAAAATATATATATCTAGGTGTAGCTTATATTTCTTTTTGGGCTGTGTAAAAGTGATATCTTGCCAATTTATTTGTCACTTCACAGCCTAATATTGGATCTGATTTTTATTCAAATCCTATTTTCTTTACACGATAGTTAATTCATCCCAAAATTTATGATCTTTTAGTTTGACTCTTGAATAATAAAAAAGGTATGTTGCATCACATGTTGCTATAACAAACCTTTACATGTCCTACTTTCTTTATTTGATTGTTAAACCATCCCAATATTTACGATCTCCTTTCTGTTTTGACTCCCTGAATAATGAAAGAGGTATGTTGCATCAAATGTTACTATGATAAGTCGTTAGATGGAGAGATTATTCGGTGTTTCTTGGAGCAATGCTTGACATCATTCAGCTGGGAACACTTTTCTTGTTGTCTCCTACAACACAACATAAAAGTGGTGGGCCCCACTGTTTAAACCAATAAAAATCAAGTTGGGGTACTGCATGCATGGCCTTGCTCGAGGAGCAGAACACTAAATAATTTCCCCGTTACTTGACCCATTTTCTTTACATGATAGTTAAATCATCCCAATACCTATGATCTCCTTTTAGATCAGAAAAATAGCGTATTAGTGGCAAATAGGCCAAAAATTAACAAATTCAAACTTTTTTGAAATTATAATTAAAAGGGGAAAATCCAAACTTATATATAGATGAGAATCACCCATTCTATTTACCAAAATGGCTTCATAATCTTCTTCTTCCCCCTTCTATTTTCTAATCTTTGTAACTCTGGCCGCTGACCACAACTCCCTACCACCCCCGATAGAAACACCTGCTCCTTCCCTTTCGTCTTCTGAAACTTCCCTCTCCTCTCCTTCTCCTTCTCCTTCTCCTTCTCCTTCTCCTCAGCCCCTTCCCTCCCTCGCCTAACAACTTAATTGATCAAAACCCTAGCCATCGGAACCCCCAAACTTCTCTATCCCTTCCTCATGGAAACCCCTCACCCCCTTCCCCATTAGTGCTAATTCTTTTTGGTACAAGTGATACTTGTGGTAGGTGCAAGTACAATGTGTGCACAGGTGCAAGTGCAATATGTTCTTGGTGCAAATGACAAGTGTGTACAACTCCACACAGCTTGCTCTGTACACATATTACACTTGCACCTATGCATCACACCAAAAAAATTGTAGCAGCGGGAGAGGGGATGAGGGATGGAGGGCTTTAGTTGATTAGATTGTTAGATGGGGTGGAAAGGGTGGAGATGGTGTTTAGAGTGGCAAAGGGTGGAGGATGGGTTGGGGGTAGTAGGGGAGTGGTAGTTGGCAGCCGGGACCGGGTGCCTAAATTACAAAGGTAAGAAAGGAGAAGAAGATGAGGGCATTTTGGTAAATTCAATGGATGATTCCTTCTTGTTTGTAGTTTTGTTCGTCCCATTTTAGTTGTAATTTAAAAAAAAAAAAAAAAAGGAAGTCCCACTGATTTGTTAATTTTTGCTCCATTTGCCACTAATACATTATCTTCCCTTTCAATTTTGACTCACTGAATAATAAAAGAGGTATGTCACATGAAATGTTTTGTATAGAAGAGGTATGGCGCCTCACGTCAAACATTTACTATATAACCTTTACATTTTAGTGTAATGTCCAAAGCCATTTATTTGTAGTTAAGGATGTTACAATGTAAATGTTAAGGTTCAGTTTGGTAACGTTTATAGTTTACTGTTTTTTATTTACAAAAAATATTAAATTTGTTTATGTTTATTTCTTGTACAGACAAAATAAAAAAATATTCGGTACCCATGTATGATTTATAAACTTGTTTTGAAATAAGTGAGGGATGGTTGATAATTGTTGTTGTCGGCGGGAGGTGGTGGCTAACAGCTGAAGATGGTGGGCTGTGACCGGAGGTGGTAGTCACCAACGGGAGGTGCTTGCCACGAACAAGAAGTAATTGGACATAGAACTATGTAAAAAATGATATATTATTAATTGATGTATTATATTACAAATCAGAGTAGCTCATTATATAGGAGAGGGTTTGGGTAGTAGGTGAGGAGTAGGTGAGGGTAAATTGGTGGTAGGTGTAGTAGGTGTGGTAGTAGGTGGTGGTAGGTGTAGGTAAATTCTAACAAACTATATACATAATCGTCACCAAATGGGCCCTGAACAACTTTGTTTAATGAACTTGTCTTTTGTTTTTTTGTTTCTCTCTTTTTTTTTTTCCTTTTTCTTTTTTCTTTTCTTATTAGAAAAAGAGAAGGAAAAAGTAAAGGTAAAGCACATAAAAGAGCTAACCATTGAGATTGCAGGTTTTCAACGAATTTAATGCTCGGAAGCCCGATGAAATTAATATATTCGAAGGGGTGACCAGAAATTACCTCTTCATGGGGATAGTGGGCCTAACTGTTGTGCTTCAGGTCTCTCTCTCTCTCTCAGATATATATGCTACTACATATACATGCAAGGTTTTGTATATCTTATTCTAGTTCTTTATATCGTCAGGTAATTATAATCATGTTCCTTGGGAAGTTTACCTCTACGGTTAGGCTCAACTGGAAACTGTGGCTTGTTTCAATTGCTATTGGCTTTATGAGGTCAGTCTGTTCAGTGATGATAACAAGTCATGTACAATGTTCATCAATGATGCTCTTTAAATTTATGTCCATTGATTTAGACTCCTTCCCCCTGAATAAGATCAAGATTATAATGTTTCCAAGATATTTTATGAGCTAAATAGTTTATGGTTATGCCTGCCTCTTCACCAGCAACATGCTTGCCCACTTGTGCAAACACACACACCATCATTCTCTCCCTTTATTTTTTTCATTTTTCTTTTTTCTTTTTTCCCATTAATGAGAGATTTATTTTAAAGGGAATATCTATTTCGATGCTTGTAAAAATGCTTTCGAAGTTTCGAGTTTATCATCTTTACTTCCTAAATTAATTTTAATATGAGTAAGTTGGTTAAGTGAAATCATTATTGTAACGCCCCAACTTCCAGGTCGTCAATAAATCACATCAACCTCAAAATTTAAAATTCTAACTAATTAATAACCTCAAAAATACAAATTGGCTTCAAAATAATTACTCAAATGTCTATAATTTATAATTTATATAAATCTCCAAAAGCAATATATAGTGGTGAGTCCAAAAATCTCCAACTCAATAATTCTTTAAATGCTTCAACTCCATTCGCCACTAGATTTCCTCCACACATGAAAAACAAATTAATTCAGAAAGTATACGGTATGATAGGAATAACATGCTCGGATAGAGAATAAATCAACAGGGATCCAACAATGTACGACATGGCACAAACAATTCGATTTGAGATACCAAGCAATTTACCAAATTGCACAGACAAGTCAACTCGACATATGATAATTTATCCAAGACCAAATACCCGGTCCTACCTCACCCGAGCACAATCGCTTATCTGGGCTATTGGTCCAAGCTATTGGCAATGTCCACTCGATCCATATACGGAGCATTTCCACGTTATTTAGTTAGACAAATCAGCACTAACTACATAGAACAACTTCGTAGAATTTATCAAATGACTAGAATAATCAAACGTATCAACAAGAATGATTCTACAAAATTTAACACATGACCATGATAATCAAGAGGAGTACAATGAGATGTAATTAAAATAAACACTCTTTGCAAAGAGATTTAGAGGAAACATATTGTATACAACCCGAATTAAAACATATTGTATACTACCCGAATTACCTCAAATCAATCTCCTCCGTTGCCAACACTCGAATCTCGATATTTCTCCATGAATCTCCAAATTCTAAGCCATAAGGTATGTAAAGTTTCACAAAATTTACAACTTTCCTCCTATATGAAAATGCTTACTCTCACTCTAAACACTCTTAATCTAAACTCTAAACCTATATAACAAATGAAGAGAGAGAGAGAGAGAGAGAGAGAGAGAGAGAGAGAGAGAGAGAGAGATGAAGCAAAAACAAAAGGATGAAAGAAGAAGAAGAATGATATAAATAGTTGAGAGGTGAGCTCAATTTATAGGCGAGGATACTTGGGACAAAAGAAAAGGAAGACTTGGGGCAAAAGAAAAGAAACTTTACTTGGTGGGCAAGAAAAAGGAGATTACTTGGAGAGAAAGGAAGATTAAAGAAATTAAAAGAAAATAAAAAAATTACTTGGTAAGTGTTAAAACCTATCACCTACTTCACCCACTTAAACCTACTCCACTAAACCTAACCCACTACACCACTACTACCTCCACTTCACCTACTCCTTACCTACTACACACTCACCCTCTTCTATATATAGGAATCATGAATCAATACAACAATCAATAATACAATTCTCTATTTCTTTTTATACAGGGAATTCTAACATGGTATCAGAGCAAGGTTAACAACTTAGTAATTCCGCTTCACCGGCGGACGGCAACCTCGCCTTGGCCGTCCGCCGGACAAACCCAAATTTCCTTAATCTCTCTCTCTCTATCTATCTAAGCTATGGCTCTGCAACTCTGGGAGACCCTTGAAGATGCGATCACCGTCTACACGGGTCTCACTCCAGCAACTTTCTTCACAGGTCTCGCTTTGGGTCTCGCTATCTACTATGTTCTCTCCAGTCTGTTTGGTTCCTCTGGTAATAATCAACGTAAGAGTTCTAGGGAGTTGCAGGAGGAGATGCAGCCTCTTCCCCCTCCTGTTCAGCTTGGTGAGGTCACTGAAGAGGAATTGAAGGTCTACGATGGTTCTGATCCTAAAAGGCCTCTTCTCATGGCGATCAAGGGTCAGATCTATGATGTCACATAGAGCAGGATGTTTTATGGACCCGGTGGCCCATATGCTCTATTTGCTGGAAAAAATGCTAGCAGAGCTCTAGCAAAGATGTCCTTTGAGGAGCAAGATCTAACTGGAGATATCTCTGGTCTTGGTCCATTCGAACTCGACGTGTCGCAAGATTGGGAATACAAGTTCATGACCAAGTATGCGAAAGTTGGGTCTGTTAAAAAGACAGTACCAGTGACTGATGGGTCATCGAGTGGGGAAGCTGTCGAGACAACTGACCGTGATGTTGATGATCAGCCTACAGACAATGGTCCATCTGAAAATGCAGCTACTGGAATCACAGAAACCGAGTCTGCTGTTGATGCCAACAAAGAAGACTGAGGAATGTTGTTATCTCTACCGTATGAAGTGAAAGTAATGTCTGGGTTGCCTCTTTTTTGGTGGGTCATTGCTTGCCATGTTGATCATAGCTATTTCTTTAATCAAACCCATACCCACTTTTTGATCAGGCTACTCTAAAATATTATCCCAAAACATCCACCACCCACGTTCTTTCACACTTTTCTTTTAATATATATATATATATCACCACTACCATCTCACCTACTCCACTAAACCTAACCCACTACACCACTACCATCTCACCTACTCCACTAAACCTAACCCACTACACCACTACCATCTCACCTACTCCACTAAACCTAACCCACTACACCACTACCATCTCACCTACTCCACTAAACCTAACCCACTACACCACTACCATCTCACCTACTCCACTAAACCTAACCCACTACACCACTACCATCTCACCTACTCCACTAAACCTAACCCACTACACCACTACCATCTCACCTACTCCACTAAACCTAACCCACTACACCACTACCATCTCACCTACTCCACTAAACCTAACCCACTACACCACTACCATCTCACCTACTCCACTAAACCTAACCCACTACACCACTACCATCTCACCTACTCCACTAAACCTAACCCACTACACCACTACCATCTCACCTACTCCACTAAACCTAACCCACTACACCACTACCATCTCACCTACTCCACTAAACCTAACCCACTACACCACTACCATCTCACCTACTCCACTAAACCTAACCCACTACACCACTACCATCTCACCTACTCCACTAAACCTAACCCACTACACCACTACCATCTCACCTACTCCACTAAACCTAACCCACTACACCACTACCATCTCACCTACTCCACTAAACCTAACCCACTACACCACTACCATCTCACCTACTCCACTAAACCTAACCCACTACACCACTACCATCTCACCTACTCCACTAAACCTAACCCACTACACCACTACCATCTCACCTACTCCACTAAACCTAACCCACTACACCACTACCATCTCACCTACTCCACTAAACCTAACCCACTACACCACTACCATCTCACCTACTCCACTAAACCTAACCCACTACACCACTACCATCTCACCTACTCCACTAAACCTAACCCACTACACCACTACCATCTCACCTACTCCACTAAACCTAACCCACTACACCACTACCATCTCACCTACTCCACTAAACCTAACCCACTACACCACTACCATCTCACCTACTCCACTAAACCTAACCCACTACACCACTACCATCTCACCTACTCCACTAAACCTAACCCACTACACCACTACCATCTCACCTACTCCACTAAACCTAACCCACTACACCACTACCATCTCACCTACTCCACTAAACCTAACCCACTACACCACTACCATCTCACCTACTCCACTAAACCTAACCCACTACACCACTACCATCTCACCTACTCCACTAAACCTAACCCACTACACCACTACCATCTCACCTACTCCACTAAACCTAACCCACTACACCACTACCATCTCACCTACTCCACTAAACCTAACCCACTACACCACTACCATCTCACCTACTCCACTAAACCTAACCCACTACACCACTACCATCTCACCTACTCCACTAAACCTAACCCACTACACCACTACCATCTCACCTACTCCACTAAACCTAACCCACTACACCACTACCATCTCACCTACTCCACTAAACCTAACCCACTACACCACTACCATCTCACCTACTCCACTAAACCTAACCCACTACACCACTACCATCTCACCTACTCCACTAAACCTAACCCACTACACCACTACCATCTCACCTACTCCACTAAACCTAACCCACTACACCACTACCACCTCACCTACTCCACTAAACCTAACCCACTACACCACTACCACCTCCACTTCACCTACTCCTTACCTACTACACACTCACCCTCTTCTATATATAGGAATCCTGAATCATTGTAATGAATCAATACAACAATCAATAATACAATTCTCTATTTCTTTTTATACATTGAATTCTAACAGTAAGCAAGGAAATGATGAAAAAAATAATACTATAAAATTTACTTGGTGCCCAAGAATAATAAATAAAAAAAATTAGAAAACAAAGGAGATGAATAATAATGAGGTGGAGATAAAAAGAGATAAAATAAATAGAGAAAATAAATTAGATTTTCATCTAAGAATCTCACCATCAAACTACCACCAATACCTCTCACTAGAATATTAATACCTCAAAAATATGGGATTTCACAATTATACAAGTATTGATCTACTTTCACCCCCCACTTCTGTTAAAACAGTTGGCCACTTGCGATGCTTGGGAAGTTGATTCCTGTCCCCGAGATGGCCTTCAGTGAATACTGCACGAGAATATTGCGTCGACGAAGATCTCCATGAGGTAGAAATCATCTTCTCGTTGTTTTGGACTTTCAGGCTGGTTTGGTTCAGGATGTAAATATCTGTTGGCTTGCTTGATTAATTTGACATGCCTTGGATTTCAGGTTCCATCAACAGAAGGCAGGACTTAGGAAAATAGAACCGATTTGCAGTGATGCTTTTCATTTTCTTTTCCTCCCCTCCACTGTTAATAGGGTTATACCGTGATTATGCACAAAGATTTAAAAATATACAGATTTGGCTGATATATCCATACTCAGTTCTTTTTTTTCTTTTTTCTTGTTTCTTTTTAAAATGTTTTTACTTGATTTGTAATTTTGCAACTTAGAACTCCATCATATTCATATGCAAAAGGGGTGTTTGATCCAAGGTTTTGAATCGGTTCTGGCCAGAACCAGCAACAAAAGGAAACAGAGAAAGAAGACTAGCATCATCTCGGATAAGCTTCTGACCTAATCAGGTCATACTGCAAGATTTCGTTTAGTTTTTGACAGAGTTCTGTCCAGTATCCTACCATTTTTAGAGCATACTGCAGATCGAACTGAAAAGCCTTATTGAAAACCTTTAAAGAGCGCTAGCAAGACTACAGGTTGGTGGAAGCAATTGCAAATCGCTGATGCCTCAAAGCTGATCTTCCTGAAGGAAAATGGTCCATCAGAACTGTGACCTCTCTAACTCTTGCTCGCTTGCTAAACTTCGCATTAAAAAATGAAGTTTGTATCAACTGTGCATTTACAATTATAAGGTTAGTACTAAGTAGGTACCTAATTGGCTATAATAATAGGCCTTCATTTCTTGTGTAAACTCTACAAAGCTTGATGTGGGAATTACCTTTCAGTTGGAAAAGGGAAAATATACTGTCTTTTATGAAATTTCATCAGCTGAAAAGTGTAATAGAAATTAGAAAGTCATGGAATCTTGAGTTGAATTTACCATTGCATCCTTCTCTCTCAAACCACACACCTGTCACACACACTCTGCACATCTAACATTACAACCTTTGGAAAATTCAAGTGGTTTTTATGTATGATGCATAAAAAAATATGGATTATTAGATTTAGATTGGATTAATGTTAGTCATTGGATGAATAGATATAGTAAAATTAGATAAAATCATTTTTCAAAAAGTAGTTTTCATTAATTTTGAAATTAAAAAAAAAAATGATACTAACTTATTGTTTGTTATAAACATATTTACTATTTGATATTCATTTACTTACTATTTGTTATGAGTAAGCTTATTGTTTAAAATATTATTTGTTAAACAGGTCACTTTTATTTTTTGAAAATTGTGCCTTTTTGCATTTTAAATTAATTTTAAATACAAAAACTATGGCATGCCATATTTTGTCTTGTGATTTGTAAAAGGTAAAATATGATATGTAAATATTAATTTATTAAAAATTGTTAGAATTTACGAACTTTTTTAAATAGTCATTATTGTGAAAAAATAATTTAAGATATAATATTAAAAATAAATAAAAAAGAAAAAAATTATAAACAAAATGTTTTTAAATTGTAAGTTATTCAAACTTTTTTTTAACAACATTAATTTAAAGTAGTTAATTTTTTTTTTAAATACCTGCAACACCTCAAAAAATCTTTTAGAAACTTCTATAAATTCATAATATTTTTTAATATCTAAAATATTGTAAAGCATAAATTGAAAATAAAATAGAATAAAATAACTTATAAAGAACCCTCATTTGTTAATATTTATTAATGGTAATAAAAGAATGCATGTATAGTAATTTCTTTCTTTTACCAAGTACACTTAAAAACATTAATTGCTATATAAGAATATTGTTAATTAGAAAAATATCGAAGAATTCTCAACTAATTTGCATACATAATGAACAATATTTTTTTTTTAAATATTTTTTCCACAGAAGTAAGTGAAAGAGAATGATTTAGATTTTATAAATTGAAGACAATTTTCAGTTAATAATTTATCTTTCTCTATCACCCTTTATTTTAACATTATGTGATATTCTTAATTTATAAATTTTAAGATTTTGTTGGAAAATTATTTCACTTAGTTAAAGAAAAAGTAGAGTTCTAAAATTTTAAGTCAAGTTTAATGAAATAGTAAGTATAATTTTGTTGACTAGTAACTTAAGCTTGTTGAAGTAGTGTTTTATTGATTAATAAGTCATGTTTAAGAATAATGTTATATGTACCATTTAATGTAATAATTAGTATACAAATAAATGATGTGGCATAATTTTAGAAATTTTGGATATTTGTAATCTGTATAATAGATGGGGTCAATAATAATGACATAACACTAGTTGGTACACTAGTGTGTACATTAATTGGTGCGTGTAACACTATCGCATGTTTAATTAAGTAGTAAGTAAAATTTGATTGAATAGTAAGTGAAAATCGATTGAGTAATAACTAAAGTCTAATGGAATAGTAAGTGGAAATTCATTAAGTAGTAAGTTAAAGCTAATTGAGTAGTAAGTAAAAACTCATTAAATAGTAAGCATGGTTTAATTGAGTAGTAAGTGACATCTAATCAAAATATAAGTGGAATCTCATTGAGTAATAACTTAAGTGAAGTCTAATAATAAGTGGAGTCTCAATGAGTAGTAATCATGTTTGATTGAGTAGTCACATTTGATTAAGTTATAAGTCGAGTTTGATAGAGTAGTAAGTGGAGTATCAATGAGTAATAAGCTAAATCTCATTGACTAGTAAGTGGAGTTTAATTAAGTAAAGTCTAACGAAATGGTAAGTGGAATCTCGTTAAGTAGTAAGTGAAATTTGATTGATTAGTAAGTCAAATCCAATCATTAAGTGGTATGTGTAATTTAATTGAATAGTAAATTAAGTCAAATGGATGTCTTATTGAATACTAAGTTAAGTTTAATAAATTATTACATTTTAACATTTTGTTTAAAATTTATATTTCTTATTTAATAATTTAAAATTTTTATTTTTATTTATTACTGACAATTCATTGTAACTATACTTACAGTTTGTTCAAATTTTATTTACTACTCAATAGTAATGGGGTTTTATTGAGTAGTAGTTATGTTTGATTGAGTTGTAAATCAAGTTTGATGGAATAGTTAGCTGAGTATCAATGAGTAGTAACTTGAGTCTTATTGACTAATAAGTGGGTGTTAATTGAATAGTAAGCAAAGTCTAATGAAATAATAAGTAGAGTCGTATTAGTAGTAAGTGAGATTTTGTGTGTGTGTGTGTGTGTGTGTTTAGTAAGTCAAGCCAAATGAAGTGGTATTTTTTTTCAGTTTTAAATAAATTTTTACATTTTGTTTAATAATTTAAAATTCATATTTCTAATTTATTACTTACCAGTCATTGTGACTCTGCTTACAATTTATTCTCATTTTACTTAGCTATCACTAGTAACAATAGGGTCTTATTGAGTAGTATTCATGTTTGATTGAGTTATAAGTAAGTTTGATGGAGTAGTAAATAGAGAATCAACGAATAGAAAATAGAGTCTTGTTAAGTAGTAAGTGAGATTTAATTTAGTAGTAAACAAAGTCTAATGAAGTAGTAAGTAGAGTATTATTAAGTAGCGAGTGAGATTTCAAAGAGTAATAAGTCAAGTCCAATTAAGTGGTGTCTTATCAAGTAGTAAGTCATGTTTAATTGAGTAGTAAGTTGAATATCATTAAGTAGTAAATGGAGTTTAATCGAGTAGCAAGTTGAGTATTATTAGGTAGTAAATGGTGTTTGATTGAGTAGTAAGCGAAGTATAATAAAATAGTAAGTAGAGGCTCATTGAATAATAGGTGGAGTTTAATTACTATTCATAAAGACAATACTTGCCATTATTTTTCATTCTACTTACCACTTTTTGTGACTGAACTTACTGCTTACTATTTTAACATATTCTGTTACCATTTTGACTTATTATTTGCTAATTAATTTGCTTATACTTACTGCAAATGGAAAATAACATTGAACAAAACAAGCATAACATTATATATTAATTAGATGACGATGATACTAATGATGGTGAGTACGACATTGGTAACGAAGATAATATCATTAATTCTAATGATCTCCCAACTGAAAGAGATGTTAAGCGTCTAGATGAATAAATTGAAAAATATATGTTTGAAATGATATTTGATTTGGAAGAAAATGAAAAAAGATCTTATAATACGTATGGAAAGGCGAAATGTTTTAGTATTCGAAGGGATTAGTTGTATAAGTACAATAGTAATATGATCATATCAAGGAAGTGGGTTTACTCAAAAGGACATAGACAACCTAAAAACCTTGAGACTAAAGAATGTAAAAAAGAACCAAAATAATTAATTAGAGTTGGTCGTCATATTTCTTTTCATATCAAATACAATCAAATATAAAGTGTATGAATTTTTCAAAAAGCATAACCATTCCATGATAGGGCCTTTTAGTATTCAATTTCTTCATTCACACAAGAATGTTATGAGTGCCAACAAGGTACAGAGCAATGCAATGCATCATATTGATATGAGAACTAGTCACATTATGGACTTTGCGGCACAACAAGTAGGTGACTATGAGAATGTCAAGTTCATACAAAAGGACATGTACAATGTAAGGCCCCGAAATAAAAGACAATAAATCATCCACCATATTCATTAAATAACAATACATGAATAAATAATTATCTCCCATTAATTCCAATGATTGGACAAAAGGGTAACATATGCAAGTACACATTCACAAGCCTTACCCTGAATCTAAAGCATATGTTACATAATAGAGAAATACAATGAAAGTTGAACAAATTAGAAACGCCCTAAAGGCTTACAGCTTTCCAAGATAGTGCTTGGTTACAACAAAATAGATTTGAATCTAACACAGTTAAAGCAATAGGCTTATACAAAACAAATACAACAAAATAAACAAAATGAAGCTCTTGCTTCCAAGTCCTCCCAAGCTATTGCCTTGGCGGATGCATATCGTTAACACCTGAAAATAGTTTTCTACATAGGGTGAGCCAAAACTTAGTAGAAATAATCCAACACAATATATGAATCTTAACAAAGATATAAGGGTGATATGTATATGCGATACTTGTGCCAAAATGTTTTATATCTTTTTCCAAAACCATGTAATGCTAGCTTAATATCAGAATTCATAAATCACTCTCTTTATAATAGAAAACAGGGCAGTGAATCACACTTTGAGAATCTCAAAACAATTTCAATCTTTCACGGAAATTTCGTCAGCGAGAAACGGTAAACCCGCACCCATATAAACGTAGGCATTACAAGCACTACTATTGCAATTTCATGGAAATTTCGTCCACGGGATCGACACCTATGTATATGCGCAGTTTTTAGGATTTTTACAAACTCAAGCCAACTTAGTTCAATGAGACAACCCATACTTCCCAAATTCACCCCTTTTCTCAAAACGATAAATATTTCCAATGTATAAATATGAAATAATACTCAATGCAATTAGATGAGACAATAGTTTCCATTCTCCTGATTTTCATGCAATTTCTACAACAATCACAGTTATCCTCCACCGATAGCCCCAAACATATATTTCTAAACGGATAAATGATTTTCAATAAAGATAAACTTTCCAAATCTCGAGATGTGAGTGATAATATATATCCAACTCCACCATCCTCATCAATATCAATCCAATTTCACATTTCCAACATCAATTCCATTATTTATACAAAATCAACATTATCTATATTTAGGGCAAAACCCCAGTTTATTCCAAAACCAAATCCAAGTTTCAAAACCAACCATTTTATCACAACCCAACCTCATTTCAAATCGCACAACCATTTTCAAGAATCCATTTGAAAACCCCTCTTTTCATTTTAAACCCAAAACCTTAGATTTGTCCAAAAATTCCCAAATCACAATATTGTTTTAGAAAATAAAAAATAAACAAGTTAAAAATCATAAAAGAGTGCAAAGAATCCCTACCTCAAACT